TCCCCTTCCTTCCCTCTGTAAACTGCTACCCTGGCCAAAATTGGCCAGAAGAGAAGGCACACCTTTCTGCCAATCTAAGCTTGTCTTCTTCTGACTTGTCAGGCTATTTGAGTTCCTTTCCTCCCATAAATCCCAAAGGCACCGTTGCAGTAGTTCAAATGGATTCTCACCCTAAAAGTGCAGATGCCGAGGAAACCCACAGGATGACGACAAGGCTGGTCTTCTGTTGTGGTGGTAGTGAAGACTGAAATGTTGTTTGTAGAGCTAATTAAAACGAAAAACAGAGAGTCTCCCTAATATTAGGTTTGAAGGTAGCTGTCTGGGGGGAGATTTGCCTTATCGTGTGCCTCCAGTCGGCACAGATCTAGCCTAGGTGGCTCACAATGCTGGCAGGTAAAAGGGCCCTACTCATTTTAAACACCGTTTTCCAATGCCTAACTTTACATGGTGGGTGCTCTGCTAGGAGAAAGGGATACAAAAATTATTAAAACGCTATTCTTGGGGCGCCTGGGTGGCGCAGTCGGTTAGGCGTCCGACTTCAGCCAGGTCACGATCTCGCGGTCCGTGAGTTCGAGCCGCGCATCAGGCTCTGGGCTGACGGCTCGCAGCCTGGAGCCTGTTTGCGATTCTGTGTCTCCCTCTCTCTCTGCCCCTCCCCCGTTCATGCTCTGTCTCTCTCTGTCCCAAAAATAAATAAACGTTGAAAAAAAAAATTAAAAAAAAAAAACAACACTATTCTTGTCCTCAAGGAATTTATAATATTAATAGAAATATGTGAGGGAATCTGGTATGTTGGGCAAAAGAGAAAAGGTGAAGATTCCGGGGAAGATTTCGGGGAAAAGGGGACAGAGCCAGTACAGGCCAAGATCACTTAGCCTTATCGAGCGCCCTGAGGCTGGAAAGTCAGCAAGCCATATTCCTTCTGCTTCAACCACTGCGGTGGGAGGGGGAGAGGGAAGACTAGTTCTGTGGATCTAATGAGCCCACCTGCACCTTTCCTTGTGGCCTTAAACTCCGCAGATAGTACCCTCTCTAAACGCTACTAAAACCACAAACCCTAGATAATCCCTAGGGTGGAATTATTTGCTTGGAAGGCAAAAAGATGCTAGTGGCTTCCTTCAGAAAAGTGTCTATCTCTGTAACTGATTGAATCAAGTGAATCCCTACAGTCTATGGTAGGGATTCTACTGTATTCTAATTCTAAAGGCATTGATGACCCAAATATTTATATATCTTTCTAAATTTTTTAAAGTTTATTTCTTGTTGAGAGAGACAGAGACAGCATGAGTGGAGGAGGGGCAGAGAGAGAGGATCCCAAACAGCCTCCATGCTGCCAGCACAGAGCCTGATGTGGGGCTCGAACTCAGGGAACCGTGAAATCATGACCTGAGCCAAAATCAAGAGTCGGACGCCTAACCGACTGAGCCACCCAGGCATCCCCAAACATTTATATTAATACATTTAAGCAAGAGGGTGCTGGGGTGCAGTAAGAGCATCTATAAAAGGCAGTTCCCTCACAGGCCCCGCAGCAGGAAGAGCACAGGGCCAGCCTGGAAGGGGCCACCACAGCGTACTGTAGCTTGGAGGCATTTCTTCTACCCACAGTTGGGACTTCAGCAAATTTTTCAGATCCTTGTCAAGTGCTCTGAAGCATTTCAGTCCCAGAGCCGTGTCTGGGGTCAGCACTGGTGCTGTCCGCTGTCGGTCTGGGAGACACTATGGGGATGACGGGCCATCGGGGAAAAGGTGCTTTGTGAAGGACACAGCACGTCGTCACTGACTGCTTTGGAGTAATGTTTTACGCCCTTGGGAACGTTCATCTGAAACTACCTGGTAAACATGGACCTTCTCGCAGCTGCTGGAAGGTAAGCATCCCTCTTTGAGGAGACTGAAGGAATTCTCCCAGAGTCTGAGGGTGAGCTCCAGAGGCAGGACTGGAAATCCATTCGTGGCCCCAGTTTCTTGAAACGCTGTTCACTTGCTTCACACCCTCATCCTCCTCTTGGAAAAGTAGGGAAGGCAAAGCCAGGAGGCTTTCACTGCTTAAACTGTTAACTAGCATTTTCCCGAAATGTGTTTCTGGTTAGTTTAAAGAAGGATAAACAAGATTTAATAGCTGGCAATGAATCACATTTTTTTTTCTCCCTAAATGCTATTTGGATCCACTCAAACGCCTGTCATTCTACTTTTGTACAAATAAATAAATCTCCTTTTCTTTCGTGCATTTTTCTCTGTCCTGCATTTCCTAAAATACAATTTGTTTGACGGATGAGTTAAGCAGTTCTGAGGTTTGTTTTTGGCTCTGTAGGCAACTGGGTTGTTTTCTCATCATAATTCAGTAGGACAAGGTTACCACCCCACAAACACTAACACCTCATTTAGAACCAGAAGCACCCCCCCCCCCCCCACACACACACAGAAGAAAGCAGTTGCTGGTGTTCTTGGTATAAGTTTCAGTTTACATCTGTAGTTTCCTTGCATCATGTCTCTGCCCTGCCCCTCCCCTTTCCTCCTGTTTTAGTTTTGCGGGGGGTTCGGGCATGTACACACGTTCTGAAGTGTCACTGCAGACAGACAGAAAGTAAACTTGAAAGGAAGGACAAGGAGGCCCGTCGTGTGCTCAGGCTTGGGGTTCTGGACCAGAAACCTGATAAATAGGGACCAACCTCACTGTAACCTGAAAGCAAAGTTACCCAGAGTATTTTTTTTCTGCAACGCAAACCACATAATCATGATTTTTTCTTTACGTGAAAAAGTTGCACAGGAACTAAACCTTATGTGTTTTTGAAAGTCATTGTACTGGAGGGAAACAAATGTTCTCCGCATAGTCTCAGAATCAAGGTGACATTTCTCTTGGTTTCCAGTCACCGGTTGAACAGAGAAGTGCCGTTTAAATAACTGCCCATCATAAGAAAAGATGAGGCAGGTCTAGAAAAGTATGTCAAAGTTCGCGTTTTTAAGTTCTCACTAGTGCAGGGTCTGTGAGCCTGTTTCAAATGATCTATCAGTGCTTCTCATAATCAGAAATGTCGTTGCCCAGGAAAGAGGCAGAAGATTCCAAGAGAGGGAGGCAAACCCAGAACCCAGAGGTGGGCTCCTTTTTCTGCAGCTTTCCTGGGTGGCTGGGGAATGAAGAGGAAGGAGTAGGTTTCCACCCAAGAGTTGCCCTGCCGACCTCCCTCCCTCCCATTCCAGCTGTCCAAGCTTCTCCACACAGTCTGGAAGCAATATGGCCTCACCTGAAGATTTTTTCCCCAAGGTTTTCAGATTTTTTTCAATTACAGTACTGTTTGAGTCTGCTTTTTAGTACTTGCTATATTGTATTGCAATAATCTGTTCGCAAGCCTATAATTATCTCCAGAGTAAGGACATTACCATCTTTGGAGCTCCTGGTATCTATCATAGAGCATGTAACAACACAAATGAGTGGGGGCATGAAGGAAAGAATACTCAACAGCACTGACTAATAATCGAGTTCCTAAAAAATGGCAATAATGAGATATAATAGTCCATTTCCCTTTCCAACTGTCATTTATCAGCCATCTATAATGAAATATGCAATTTTTAAAAAGTAACATTAAGGCTATGATTCCTAGTAAGTTTCGTGAAATTTTGAAAACTGCTTCATGGGATGCCCACTGGGCCTGGTTTAGGAAATGCAAACTAGTTCTTGGCCCAGGCCAGTCATTCTCAAACTTGAGTGTGCATCAGAATCACCCAAAGGGCTTCTTAGAACAGATTGCTGGGCCTCACTCACAGAGGTTCTGGTCCAGTAGGTGTGGGGAAATGCTGATGCTGCTGGTCTGGGGACCACAATTCGATGAGAGAACAAGCAGGGGTGGTGGGTGCTGAGTCTGTAGTTCTTATGCCGACCAAACTGCATGACATCTAATAGGCCATTCGCCCGTCTCGTGGTGGCTTGGGCAGGTGGGAAGGACAATGAATGGCATCTCTAACTCACAGAGCACTTCAGAGCACGAACGCTGGGTCACTGACACAATCACACCTTTCTCAACCCGTTTTATAGGGATTGAGGCTAATGGTGGGAAAAGAAGTAAAAATGATGATGCTTTGGAAAATCAGAAGTACTATGCAGAAATGTGCTGTTTTATCCTCGCAAAGATCTTCACTTTGTACTGGGCTTTCCCACTGGGGCTTGCCTGCATTGGCCTTCTTAGCATAGAAATACTGACGTTAATTTAGTGGAACAAACTCCCTGCGTTAGGAAACGTGAAAAATGGCTGAAAACATTCACGTATTGGGGTTTATGTCCTGGGGGAAGTACACAATTTTCCAGGCATTCTATTAAACTGATACAGAAGGACTGGCATCTGTTCAGTATCTGTGCATATGTCTCTACCCACTGATGCTACAGCCACCAGGGTTGTTTCCTGGGGATCTGCTGGCAGCCCTGACTCCGACATTAATCAACTTGACATCTGGAACCAACCTGAGGCACCCCATCTGATTGTCACAGATGCCTTTACTTTTCAGCTGTCAGCAAAGAGATTATTCAGTTAAGGATGCCAGGTCTACACCACACAATCTGTGTGGAGGAGGGCCGAGTGGTGTATTAAAAAGAGAGCTGAATAATCTGGGAGTGTGGGCAAGACAAAAATTTCCCTCGGTAATCTGTCAACTCAGACCTACACCAGGAAAGCATTTTGCCTGCAGCAGCAAAATTACTGTGGTCGGGGAGACCAGGCTAGATTATGCTCTACATATCCTTGGAGCACATATTTTGCCCATGTTTGCAAACTACAATCCTCCTTGAGCTAACTAAATAACAGCAGCAGCTACTTTCAAAACCGTTTAGCCCCTCCTTGGTCTGTTGCAGCCAGGCCTGCATTCTTCAGGAGTCTGGGGAAAGATGTGGACACCTCTTCTTGGGTGAGTTTCAAAGAAGACTGGACACTGCTTAGAGACTAGCAACCTAGTCACTGTCATTATCACGACAGCGGCATGGGATGGGGCTGATAGGCACAATCTCAGTTACATACCTTTTTGATTTTAGCATTCCACGTGTTCTAATATGGAAAATGAGGCTCAGGACATTATCCAGAAGAACTGCTTGTTGGCAATTGCTCTGTGATGTGTTCGGATGAAGCAGGCAATAAGGAGTCAAATTTCACTTCATCAGGGAGGAAAAAAAGAAAAAAAAAAAAGCTCTGTAGATAACACTGTAAATCAGCCAGGAGACAAATGTCTGCCTGGATTGTCACCCACCATTTCACGGCATTGATTTCTCAAAGCCTGAAACCGTAAAGGACCCAATCCAGAGCGGAAGGGCATCCTGGCGTCCCATGTTTGCTGATTTAATTTTCCTCTCTGAACACACGCAGCCCCATAATTAGAACATCTACCAACCATAAATACAATTTAAACTCTGTACATGTGTGCCTACATGTGTGGAGAAGTTTAAGCTGAGATACGGTTTCAATAAAAACAATCCTTCTGCGCTGATTAGAATGTGTAAAGAGGAAATCTGTTTATACCACAATCTACTCAAAACTTGTGTTGGCAGCAACACTCTTGGCTAATAAATGTCAATAGCAAAGCTACATGGAGAGTATGAATTAAACTGCTCACAATCTGGAGATTCAGAGCTCAGTCTAGAGTGATATGTCCAACTAACTCCACTATGTCTGTCGTGAAGAAATGCCATCCATAAGCCCTTGGCGAAAACACAGACTGCTAACGGACGGGGCCTGCTTAGCGATGTTCGTCCTGCTGTTGAGTTCAAGTCCACCCTCAAAAGGAAAGGAGTTCTCAGAGGAAACTGCAGAGCCCTGCAATGTTTTGGAAGGGGGTTCATATTTATTCACCTTCTCTTAAAAATAACACTGGTAGCACGAGGAATGAGATTACCAGAATGATTAAAAACCAACAGGGCATTTAATTTTTTTGATGCTCTATTTCTCATTTCCTGTTGATTTTATAAGAATTAGCAATCGGGGCACCTGGGTGGCTCAGTCGGTTGGGCATCCGACTTCGGCTCAGGTCATGATCTCGTGGTCTGTGAGTTCGAGCCCCACGTTTGGCTCTGTGCTGACAGCTCAGAGCCTGGAGCCTGCTTCGGATTCTGTGTCTCCCTCTCTCTGACCCTCCCCCACTCATGCTCTGTCTCTCTCTCTGTCAAAAATAAATAAACATTAAAAAAATTTTTTTAAAGAATTAGCAATTGAACACTGTCCATTGAGTCCATCTACACACCTATTCATCCAGAAAAATAGCAGCCCTGGTCTGATCAGTGCAACATCCCCTCACTGTCGACAGGACTCAGGACAGCCCTTCATCATACTCAAGAACTGGAAGGAAGAGGAAAAACACAAGTCGAGGAACTGAAGGTGGTGAAAAATCACAAGGGACTAAAGGGCACCATATGCAAGGGTGGAGTGAAGGTGTGGGATGCGACAGCCCCCTGGGAGGGGTAAATGTGTCCCTCCTGTAGCGAACTTTTAAAGAACCACCTTAGGATAAAGTAGGCATGACCAGCCATACAGGTGAGAGTCATAGAAAGATTTCTGGGTGATCAACAGCCTTCTCCTTCAGGTTGGCTAGGGAGTAATCTACATTTTTTGAGCTGGAAGGAAAGGAGTGGGGGCAGCTTACCTGTAATAATGATAATAAAAAAACAACAATAACAGCAAATATGTGCTACATGCCAGACACTGTTCTAAGCCCTTGACATTTATTAACTCATTAAATCATAACAAAAACAACCCTAGGAAGTATTACTACCACCCCCATTTTACAGATGAAGAAACCGAAGAACTGTAAGAACTTCCCAAGGTCATCCAGTCAGTAAACGGTGAAAACAGACTAAGGCAGCTCATTCAGAGCCACATGCTTTAGCTTGAGTCTCTGCTGCCTCTCAAAAGCACTGATACCTAGTATATTGAGCACTGTTCTAAGCAGGCTCCAGATATCCTTGCTTATAACGAGCACTCCATTCTGCCTCTTGACATGGCTGACAAAAGTCAACTGAGTATACCATGTCCCCTGTACCGTTTTCTTTTGTCCCATTACGCTTGCTCTAACTCTGGAGTCGGCCAGAAGCCCTGTTACACTCCAGAGTGACTAAGTTTGTATTTGTGGGGCCCTAGGCTGTCAGATGGAATGCACATGCAGCCCCACCCTCAGACCAAGTGCCTATCCTTCTCCAGGTTTTTCAGGCATTCACTCAGATCTGACGTGCGGTTCAGGAAGGCTGTGTGCACCCACGGAAAGACAAAGAGAGAGTACAGGCAATTTTTTTCTGGTAATTCAGATTCAAGAAAACCTCCAGACAGCAGTCAGGTCATTGACAGAGCACTTGCAATATATTTAATCGGTTCTTTCACTTGTGTTATTTCACTTAATTCTCATAACAACTCAGTGAGGCAGCCAATGTTATCTCTGATTTTAGTGGGAAAAAGACTTAAGATTCAAGAAAAGGTTACATGACTTGACCATACATCAAGTAAAAAATACAGGTGGGACTCAAAATCCATGTCTATATCACGGTGCTGAACTCAAAACAATCTTTCCTTCAGCACTTTGTAAATAACAACAGCAGCTGTAACTAACTAATCTAACTAACTAACCAGAGCCTTGCCCTCAGCTGATAGGATAAGAGCAATTAGTAGCTGGAATGGACACCTTGGCTATATTCATTCGGGCAGCCAGGACGTCCACACAAGGTGGGGTAGGTTCCATGTAGCTTCAGGCCCATAACCCCTCTTCTAGGATGAGATCTGTCTCCACACCCAGCCCTGGAGTGCATTTCTAGGGAGCTGGAGGCAAAGGGTCTTCAACAAGGGGCCCTCATCTGTAAAATACCATTCCTCTTGTTCTCCTGAAAGCCCTGGTTAGCTGACCTTTCAGGCACGATGAAAGATAGCTTTTTTTGGTTTATTTTCCCCAGACAGTTGGAGGAATGTTGTTCTGGGCCAGTGTTCAGTGGGTTTGTGTTTTTGTTGCTGTGTGGTGCTTTGCTATAGTGGTATTACCATATTTTGGAAGTTTTCTAAACCATTGCCCATGCACCCAGGGGTGACTATTAAAATGATGAGAACATTTTTATAAATCATAAAAATAAATAAATGTACAAAAGCACAGTTAGTAAAATGGACAAAGCTAACTCAGCTTAAAAAAAAAAAAACAAAAACCTGAGAGTATTTCTTTCAGAATCTGAGTTTTGTGCCTAAAAGGAAGTCCATGGGGAAAAAAGTATACATTTTAAGGGAAAAAAAAAACAAGTGAACGTGAATAACACGATAAATGGTAAATGCTGACTTGGATTGTATATTTTATCTTTGTATCTAGATGGAAGAAATACAGATATAAAAAAGCAAGCATGTATGCATTAGGAATAACTATAATGCTATGTCTTATTTATGTATAATCATTCTTTTGCTAGAATCAAACCATGCATGACAATTTTTTCTTTTTAAGTTGCTTTTTAAAAAATGCTCGTTTTGTTCTTTCTCATCCAATAGCTATGATCTTTATCATATCTGAAGGCCTATCAGCATAAGAGATTATGGCCACAACCTGCTAAGAACATTCAGAAGCTAGACCTTCTGGATCGTCTGCTCACCCCCTCTTTCTCCTTCTCCCATCCACTGCTTCCACCCACCCCGTCCACTGCTCTGCCAAGATCTCGTCCTCTACTAGTTGAGGGCTTCCCTGGCTGCACATAAACCGAATCCTTGTCTCCCTGGGCATCCCTGAAAACACACGTAAGTGGTTTCCCAAAACAGAAGAAACTGACTGCCAAATACTCCATGTGCTGGGCAAAATTTCAATGAGCAAATGAATACATAGAGGAAATAAGAATTAAGTGCTTAATAGTTCATTAATGGGTAACTGTTTACAGGTTGACAGTCGTTTTAAAACGTCTGTTTTCCTTTAGAGATTTTAGGGGCAGGCACGGCTTTTGGCCTTCACGTGGGGAGGGGGAGACCGGAAAGTGAGTGTGGAGAGCTTCTCACTTGTGGGGCTCCTCCAGGATCTTTACGGCTACCCCACTAGTAGTGCTGACCCTGGCCTGGGTTCCTGTCTCCTAGCACAGGGGCAGGGCAGATTCAATGGCATAGGGTCGTTATGGATGATTACAGTTATAGATCTTGGGCAAGATCTAAGGAAAGCGGGCTTCAGACCAGTTGAACTTAAACTAGCTTTGTTCTCAATGCCAAAGTAGATGGGCTGTGAGAGTCACCCTACCACATCCCACATTATTAGTGACGAGGGAATGTCTTCCCACAGTGTAATACTATGCAGAGGCAGGTGGTCCTAGAGTGAGCCTTCTGCCACCTATAGAACTGATAAGACTATGATCACTAATGGAACATTCAGTTCTCTGTGTGTGTGGTCTGAAAAATCAAACCAAAGCCTGTGTTATGGGGAGGTGGGGGGAGAGGGCCGACAGAATCAAAACAGCAACTGTATCCAAATTTTTTTTTTAACTATGTCAAACGCATATGGAGGATTAGAATCAAACAGTTTTCTCAAGGAGAAACAATTATTTTGCTTTCAAACACCAACCAGGTAAAAACAGTCTCAAAACCAATTAGAAATGCAGGGGCTTTTCCACCGTGGTTATTCTTTCCAATCACATACAAAATTACAAGTACTTTCTAGAAATTACTCACACACAATGAAGTCCTTTAGATTCATCCTGTGATGGGGGCAGTCTTATCGGGCAATGTTTGTCCTGGAACAGCTGTTGAGATCCTAGCAGGAGAAAAGCCCACATGATTCTTTAGCTCATAATCCAGTTAGTTTATTTTCTCTAGATTACCTGTGGGCATCATGTTGATGCAAACAGTAACACAAGTAGCTCCTGGATGACAGCCAGAAACTGGAGCTCCCCCTAACCTCACCACAGGTGGAGAACGATCAGACAATATATTTGGACTTTCCCTCCCCACCACACTCCTACAAACACGCAGACATATACCATGAACTCCAGATTTGCCCTTAATGTCATCGCCTGGTGCCACTGCAAGTGCAGAAGGGGCAGGAAAAGGAGGACAATAGCTGAGCCACACCCCGTCTGGCTACTGACTTCCTAGTCTCCTCTTCTAGCTTTCTCTCTGACAGGACCTGAGCATCACTTGGGTCTTGGGAAGTTGGTGGCTTCCACATTCTGTTCCCTCAGCAATACTATGCAAGCCCTTCCTACTCCCTCCTACTCCTACTTTCTACTTCCTACTAGATAAGGATATTCTCAGTTTTCTAAGTCTCTTCTCCCCGAGCAAATTAGAGGCTCCAAAAGGGCAGGCAACACATCTGGTCCCTCTGTGCCCATCATTATTGCTAGTGCAGTAGTAAGCAAGAGCAGTCTCTCAAAAATAAACTGTGTGAGGAGTCTCTCTGGTGTAATTTTTGGTCAGTTGTACTTGATGGATAAGAAGGACAAAAGAAAACGTCAGGGGATGCCTGAGTGGCTCAAACAGTTAAGCATCTTGATTTCGGCTGAGGTCATGATCTCACAGTTCATGGGATCGAGCCCCACGTTGGGCTCTGCACTAACAGCACAGAGCCTGCTTGGGATTCATTCTCTCCCTCTCTCTCTCTCTCTCTCTGCCCCTCCCTCACTTGTGCTCTCTCTCAAAACAAATAAATAAACTTAAAAAAAAAAGAGGGGGGCCTGGGTGGCTCAGTTGCTTAAACAACCAACTCTTGATTTCTGCTCAGGTCATAATCTCATGGTTCGTGAGTTTGAGCCCTGCATCGGGTTAGCGTCAACAATGAGGAGCCTGCTTGGGACTTTCTTCCTCTCTCTCTCTGCCCCTACCTCCCCCCCCCCCGGCCCCCCCCCCCCCCGTCTCTTTCTAAATAAATAAATGAACTTTAAAAAAAGAATTAAAAAAAGAGAAACATCAGGAAAGACAGTAAGTCAGCCACTACTAAGAAACCCTGTTAAACTAAAACCCTATTTTTATGATTGCCCAGAATATGTGAGCACTGTACTCTCAGATAATTCTGTTGTCTTTCCTCATGCTTCATGGCTATGCTGACCATGAATACAAAGTAGAATTTTAACTTTAAAATCATTCCTTTTCAGGACAAACCTTTCAGTCCATCTTCATGAATTGACTAAAACTAACTTCTAGAGTTGGGGTCTTTTCACACTCTCTGTAGATTTATTTTCAGTAAAAGGTACTGAAAATGCCACAAAATAAAATGCTCAAGGATCTCAAAAGAGAGCTTGTCCCCTATAATTCAGACCTATATCCAAGTAGTTATATAAATTCTTGCTCTTTGTCACAAATCAGTGGATTATTTGGGTTTTTGTTTGTTTGTTTGTTTGTTTTTTGTTTTTTTTTGTTTGTTTGTTTTTGAGGTTTAAGGGGTGGAGTAGGTTGGGATTTTCGCTCCTTTTACCCCTGGAACATTTTGATTCTTAAGAATTTTTTAATTATTCATCACCAGTTTCTGCACAAGTAAAATGAAGTAGGGAATTGACCATGGAGTAGGAATTCAGGGCTTGCCAGCAGACGGGGATGGGGGTGGGGAGGGCTTATTTCCTTTCACCTTTGGAAGAGATGGACACTTTATCTGTGGGGACACAGGTTCTGGCCTTAGATCTTTGTTTTCCCGCATTTACCCAGGAGCAGGCCTCCACCCTAACAGAGTTAGCAAAGGTCACTTCTCAAATCCTTAACACTAAGACTTGGGTCTTCCTTTGCAGAGGAGTCATTTACTGATTTTTATGGCCTCCCACAGACAACTATGACAGTTCCTCATACTAAGGTTAAAAGAACAGGGGCGCCTGGGTGGCGCAGTTGGTTAAGCGTCCGACTTCAGCCAGGTCACGATCTCGCCGTCCGTGAGGTCGAGCCCCGCGTCAGGCTCTGGGCTGATGGCTCAGAGCCTGGAGCCTGTTTCCGATTCTGTGTCACTATGACAGTTCCTCATACTAAGGTTAAAAGAACAGGGGCGCCTGGGTGGCGCAGTCGGTTAAGCGTCCGACTTCAGCCAGGTCACGATCTCACCGTCTGTGAGTTCGAGCCCCGCGTCGGGCTCTGGGCTGATGGCTCAGAGCCTGGAGCCTGTTTCCGATTCTGTGTCTCCCTCTCTCTCTGCCCCTCCCCCGTTCATGCTCTGTCTCTCTCTGTCCCAAAAATAAATAAACGTTGAAAAAAAAAATTTTAAAGAACTGAATATTGCTCCTTTTACCAAAACAGCCTCAGTTACATTCGCCACTGTTTGTAAAACATTGCAGTTGTCTCCTCTCCCAACTTTTCCTCCCCTTGAAAGAGTAAGTTAGCATGGGATGCAGAGGAAATGGCTGATTTCTGCCGAGACACTGGGATAATCACCCAAACCTCAGACGCAAGCCCTGACCAGTCACCGCACCCTAACCTGGGCTCGGGGCCTGCTCCGCAGACCAGACCTGGAAGAAGCCTGGCCACGGGAGATGAGGCTGCCACCAACCTGCGGCTTTTCACCGCCGGCATGGATTAAGTAACACCCGCAAAATCACCATTTGCACACATGCCAGGGGCTGATTACCAGCCTCTCCGCCAGGGCTGCGGACTCGATTTCAGAGCAATTTCTCCCGTTACTCAGCCCCAGGACAGCCGGCCGCGTCTCCAGGCACACTCCCGGGCGTGCGGAGGCCACTCCGCAGCCACCTCGCGGCTCTGGGCTCCTCGCCCCCCACCCCCGACGGGCACCGGCAGGCGCCCAAGCCGGGTCAAAAACGAGACCACCAGCCACCAGCACCGCGTCCCGCCGGCGATTCACGCGCCCTGATCTCTTTCCGCGCCCCCCAGTCTTGGGAAGGAGACCTCGCCCTCCTGGGAGCACCAAATCGTCTCCCTGCCGCCCGCGAAACGGCCAGATGGCCGCTGAGCCTTCTGCGCCTCCATCCATCCTCGATCTGCGAAACACGCCGTCAGAGACCTTCCCACCCAGGCTCCCGCCGCTTCCCTGCGGTTTCGCGGTCTGTCACTTGGGAAACAGGGCCCGCAGCTCGGGAAGGTGGTGCAGACAAAAGAGACGCAAATTCGTCTTCCGGGCAGGAGGAGTGGCTGCTGGGGGTCACCCGCTGTCAGACTAGCCCACCCCGCGGAAGCCAGAAGGCGGCAGGGCTTCCCCCCAGTGCGACACGACTGCTCCCGCGACCCGCGCGTCTGCGTCTGTGGCCATCACCAGAAACCAATTGGTTTTCAAACAGTTAAGATAAACCTAGGATCTTAATTTCCTTTATGGGACCGACCACGCGGCTGTGTAAAAGTCTCCTGACAGACGTAATGGAGGGTTATTAGCAGTACAAAGCCTGTCGGACCCGTAGCATTAGTTCAAGGGGATACTTCGGTGTTGCACCAAAATTGCTGTGCATGTAAACCAATTTCCCCGACAGAAGGGTAAACACAGACTTGTTTGAACCGCGAGATGAAAACAGATGGGATATCGCAAACAGTTCCCCCAAATACAACAGACTTCTGGGCCAATTACACGTGGTTAGCTCTGAATGACAGAGGAAATAGGTTTCTTTGCTGCTGAATGTCACAAAAGTCACCTAAAGGCACAGAAGGAGGCCGGTTTGTTTTTGCGAAACTTGCTAAAATTAATCTGTGCTGGAGTCACTTGTGAAACGCAGAACCACCCCCCCCCCCCCTTCCCGCCGCCTTCGTGAAGGCCAGACCGCCGGGTTGGGATCCCGGGGCTAGGATTTCGAAGTGTGCCTCCGCCACTCGGGAAAACTGGGAAAGGGAAGGAAAATCGAGCAGGCGCTTGCCAACCCAGAGGGCCTAAGGAGTGCGCTGGAGGCGGGGGGGAGGGGGGGGTCCTAGCCCCCTCCCCGCGGCCCATCTCGCCGCCCCCTCTCTCCACCCCCGGGTGTGCACGCCTCCCTCGGCACTCCCGCCTCGGGCATGGCAAAGCAAGAAAACAGGACAAGAAGTGTGCTATCGATCCTGGCCGACCGGGTCAGGGCTGCGCCACGTGCTACTTCGCACGGAGCGCGGCCGAGGGCGCAAGGGACGGGCCGCCAGCCGAAACCCTCCCGAAACATCCCGAGCGACCACCAGAGCAGGCCACCGGGCTGGGGGGCAGAGGCCTGGCTCCAGCGGGTTGGGGGTGGGAGGGCGGCGCGTCGCAGCCGGGCCTTTCCACCGCCCACCCCCGCCCCCACCCCGTCCCCCCCACCCCCACCCCCGTCCCCGCCCCCGCGAGCCCGGAGCTCCGGGCCGGCGCGGGGCGCGGAGACCAAGGGAAGGCGGCGCGCAGGGCCGGGCCTGCACCCCAGTGACGGAATCTCGAAGACGGAAGGCCGCGGAGACCCGCTGCCCGGCCGGCCTGCGACGCCTGCGGGCTAATGCCGGGGCGGGGGTGGAAGAGAGAGCGCCGCGCGGGGTGCGCCTACCCCCGAGGCCCGGTCTGGCGTGGCCAAGGGCCCGGGTCACCGCGCTGCCGGGCTCCGGAAGCCGCGCTGGCGGGGCCGCAGGGCGGGAGGCCGGGTCCTGGGGCCGCCCGGACGGAGGAAGCGGCTCGGGTCGCGCCGCCCCGCGCCCGGGAGCCGCGTGCAGGGTTCAGCCGTGTTTCGGTTGCCCTCTGACCTGACCCTGGGCGCACAAAGGCCTCCTGGGTGCGCAGCCATGGCCCAGCCTTCCAGTCGCTGCCAAATTAATGAGCCCACGTCAGGTTGGGTTTACAGCTCGGCCGGGACGCAGCCGAGTGGAAAATGAGCCCGGGGCCTCTCGGGAGGTACCCGCACTAGTGCAGAGGCGGTCTGGCGTCCTTGAGGCCGGGGAAGCCTCGGCCCGCACGGTGCCGCCTTCAGCTCTCTACTCAGCTGCTTTCGCGGTCTCCTGAGGAAACAGGCCCGCCCCTGGGGAAACCTGCCAGCGTCCGCCCCGCTTTATTAAAACAACACAGAGCCCACATTTAACATCCCAGCAGCACAGGCCAGGCATTCTGGACACACGTCGTTGGCTTGTGGCTTGGCGACCCTTTGGTGTCTTTGCGGCGCCCTTGGCTGCCGGGCTTTGGGAACCGAGTCTGCCTTCCCGGGAATGAGTTCCTCCTGGAGGTCCCGGGTGCCTCTCATGAGTATAGGTATATGCCCCAAGAGAGCGGGGAATGCTTCCTCTTCCAGAAGCAAGGCTCTTAGGGGAAGCATTTTCAATGGCTGTTGGATGCGGGTCTTGAAAGCCAAAGATAAGTCGAAAAGGGATTTGGTGTTTGAGCACGAGTCCATCTGCGAGTTCATCCTGAAGTCTAGGAGACTGGCTGTGCTGAGGGCTCTGTGTTCTTATTGTTCTTTAAACGCGGTGGGGGGAATTCAGTTCAAGAAAAATGATTAAACCTGAAGCTGATAAGGTTTAAGTCATTGATTTACCGTATTCCTTCCAGATTTTTCAAATATGCTAAACGAAAGCACTTTTATTTAAAAACACTCAAAAGGTCAGAAGAGTGATGCTCTTCAGAAGCCCTCTTTCCCTGCAGCTTTGTCTGCTGTTGTCTGCTGTTGAGAACCAGGAAGGTTAGGAACTGGAAAGAACTGGT